TTAGTCTAGAACTGTTATTATGGCTGCCATCGATCCGGTCGACCCCCATTGTTAGCACTATAGATCGGAAATTATCAATTAACAAGTTAGCTTATGGTCAAACATAGCCTCTGACTGCATGCTATGTTTGCATCGGCTATTTAGCCGATTGCCCATGCTTCTGCGATCATAACATGTTTTCATGACTCTGTTAAATATGAATAGATTTACCAATTGCTAGTTTCTGATCTAGGGTCATACTGTCAATGCTTCATCAGTGGACTCGGCCTGTTGACAGTACAATAGATTGAGTTTAGTCAGTTTGTAGATTTATTTATATCTAACGATTGATTGCTTGCATGTTATGAGTTTATCTTCATACACTTGGGCTGCTTTGCCGATAGTCCGAGCTTCCACGTGTACGATCTTCACGATTCTATTGAAATATGAGTAGATTTTCTGATTGCTAGCCTCTGATCTAGGGTCCTACTGTCAATGCTGCATCAGCTGACTCGACGTGTTGACAGTGCAATAGATTGAGTTTAGTCGGTTCGTAGATTTATTTATACCCAGTAGATGAGTATTTTCATGTTATACAACATAATCTCCAGAATCGGCTATTTAGCCGATAGCTTGCTTATTGAGGATACACCACCTATTTTAATGCTTGTACTTATTTTTGTCTTGGTCAAAAGCTAGTATGATTCTCAATCAATATAAATGCCTTCACATCTATTCTTTACGCTTTTGCATGTTTTCATGATCATCGGCTATTAAGATCTACATAATTAATACTTGATAATTGTCGATAATGTTTATTTTATTCACTCTGCATCCTGAACATGTTGGATATCGACTCTTTAGTCGATAGCCTTATCTCATCGGCTATTTAGCCGTATATTTGGAACTGTCTGGAGCAAAGCCGATATGTTCCACCTTAAATTACTAATCAATCTCTTTTTGTCAATTACAGAGTCAAATTGACTGACACGCCTTAGGTCACGACCATCCGGTCCTGTGTTTCCGAAGTCCTGGGAGATCTCGGGATCTGCTCCACACGGCTTCTCCCGGCTTGCTGTGCTGGCGGCGAGGCTAGCGCGCACGCGCCACGTTCATTTTTTTCAATGTCAACAGAAGTCATGATTTTGAAAACAGGGTGAGAAGAGAAAACTTTTGAATTAGGTTTGACCTAACAACTACATGACACACACATTAGAGAATTTTTTTGAAAGTTCATATTTTTGTATTACATAAAAAACTGGTATATATGTTACATTAAAGGTGTCCAACAATTTCAGATTATCCCTCCAATGGAAAGAGTCTTTTTTCACATGATTTGCTAGCCTTACATTTGGGTAGAGTTTTTTTCCAACTAATGTTCACCCAAGGGATGTCCAGCTTACTTTAAAATTTGTGAGGATTTTTCATCATTAAGGCTTCGTTGTGAGATTTCAAGTTAGTCACCTATAGACCACCTTCATCCTTTGGCATGCACATCATTTCCCAAGCCGCCTTAAGAGGCCTTCTTGCATTTAAGTCATCTCATCTCCAGTGTTTTCTAAACTTGTCAATCTGCTTGATCATATAGAAAGTTGGGAGAGAAGAGACCACAACATTAAACAATTGACTAGGAGCTATGGATCGAGCAACCAACAACTAATATGCACTGATATGGGCCAAGAATTCCCATTGATTGAGACAGGAAGTCATAGAAATTGTTGTGGGCCGGACAAAGGCGTAGTGCGTATAGGTCCAGGAACTAATTACTACTCACTCTATCTCTAGGTGTCGCTATGATATTTGTACTGGTCAAATTTTCTCAAGTTTAACTAGATTTATAGAAAATATTAGCAACATTATATTTGTATCTCTAAATAAATTAATTATGAAAATAAATTTAATGATCTATCTAATGATATTAATTATGTACTATGTTTTTTTCGAAAGGCGGCAAAAAGCTTTTGCCGGATTTTTATTATACGATAGAAAGGAAAAAAAGGGTGTTACAAAGTTTTTACAACCTCAACAACAGACTCAACTCTACTAAAGGCATACAGACCAAATCACTCTACTGAGGAAAGAAAACAAAACCAGTAGAACTCTTAAAGACAAAGGGAACAGAGGAAAATAAACGCTACTAATGAGCTTCTGCATTTGGTCTTGTGGCCAATCGGAATTGATCGATCTCCTCCTTGCATAAGAATGCCACCTCCCTTGGCTGCAAGCTTTTATTTTGGAAAGTTCTTCTATTTCTTTCTTTCCATATGTTCCACCAAAAATAGATCATGAGGCCATCAAAGTTTCTCCTGTGAGGTTTATCTATCCGCAGCTTGCATCTGCGCCAGTAACCATGAAGCGACCCATTGTCTCCCACTGTGTTGATTGTTGAGAGCCCAAACCAAGTTTTCAAGATGGACCATACTTGTTTTGAGAAGGGACAGCCCTTGCACAAATGCTTGGGGTTTTCTGGATCAACTCCGCATAGTTTGCATATAGGGTCATTTGGACAATTTCTCTTTATCAAATTGTTCGCCGTGAGGATCTTCTTATGTAGCAACGTCCACGCGAAAAATCTGCATTTCGGCTCAGCCCTAGCCTTCCATATCAGCATGATCCGTAGCTTGTTGTATGATCCTTCAAATTGAATGTGGTATGCACTCTTGGATGTATACTCTCCATCTGTCGTCCAGCGCCATATTATGTTGTCCTCCCTACGAGCGTCAAGCTGGACTTGCTATACAGCTTCCCACAGTCGGACGTATTCCTGAATTTCAGCAGTTGACAGGATTGGGGTGATGTGAGAAATCCACTTATTGTCCTGTATTGCCTTTTGCACCATGACGTTCTTCCTCTTGGCTTTCTTGAATAAGGTTGGCGCAAAGCTCTTAGGCGCCATTCCTTGCACCCACGATGAAGTCTAGAATTTGGCCGTTTTGCCATCGCCGATCGTTGCCATCGTCGATGCTGCGAAGAGGTCCCTATCCCGGCCATCACACGGTAGTTCTAATTTGTTCCATGCCCTTTCCTTTTGGCGCCATTGGAACCATAGCCAACGTAGGCGAAGCGCTCGTGCGAAATGTTCCAAATCTAGAATTCCTAGCCCTCCCTTAATCTTGGGACGACAGGATGTAGTCCAGTTGACGATCGAATGTCCTCCATAGACCTTGTCGGGTGTCTCTCCCTCCAAAGAAAGCTTCTTCTCATTCGATCAATCCTTTTTATAAGCCATTTGAGTTCAGGGAACACCGTCATGTGGTAGATTGGTTGAGAGGAGAGCACCGTTTTTACCAACGTCTCTCTCCCAACTGAAGATAAGAATCTCCCCTTCCACCCCGACAATCTTGCACCAATTTTATCCAAAAGGGGTTGCACATCTATTTTCCTCAGTTTCCGCACATGGAGAGGGAGGCCGAGGTATTTGCCAGGGAAGTTGCATACTTTGCTAGGAAAGTTTTGAAGTAATTGCATGACTGTGTTGGTGTCTAATCTGATCGGGTAGATTTCTGTTTTGGAGATGTTGATTTTGAGTCCCGAGCATTCTCCAAAGAAATTAAGGATTCTATGTAAATGATCGATTTTCAGGTTACTAGGGGATGCAAAAATTGCCGCATCATCCGCATATAGTGAACACCGAAGGTTCGCTGCCCTTGGTAAAACTGGATTCAGAATGCCTCTATTCGCAGCGACCTCGATGATGCGCTGTAATGGGTCAATAGCTAAGATGAACAGCTGTGGTGAAAGGGGGTCCCCCTGCCTGAGCCCCCTCTCATGTCTTATCTCCTTCGTCGGCTGACCATTGATCAGAATTCTTGAGGTTGCCGAGCCAAGTAAAGCCACGATCCAATCTCTCCATTTTGTGCTAAACCCCAAGTTTTCAAGTACCTCTAGCAGGAAGCTCCATCCAATGGAATCGAATGCGTTGGATATGTCTAATTTTATGAATAGGGTCGGCTTCCTTCTCTTATGTAGTAGTTGGATCACCCGTTGCGCATAGATAAAATTATCATGGATGCACATCTTCTTTATGAATGCATTCTGAGCGTTAGACACAAGGTCATTCATGTGAGGTGCTAGTCTGTTTGCGAGTAATTTTGTAATGATTTTCACAAAGCTGTTGATTGCTTATAGGTCTGTAGTCTGATAACGCGGCTTCATCCTAGGTTTTAGGCAACAGAACAATGTTTGCAGTGTTGATCAGGTGTAGTTTCGATGTTTGGTTATTGAAAAAACTCATGATCGTCTATATCACATCGTCTTTGATGACTGACCAACATTTCTTGTAGAAGCATCCTATAAATCCATCAGGACCGGGTGCCTTTTCAGATGGCATATCTTTGATTACAGCCTCAATTTCTTGCGAGGTGAAGGGTGCATCGAGATCCTCCAGATCATGATGTTCATAGCCTAACTCCTCCCAATTAATTGCTCTGGTTCTTATACTCGGAGAGCCCATCAGGTTTGAGAAATGATTGAAAGCCAGAGCCGATTTGTTTTCCTGCGAGATGACCGGTCCCGAGTCTCCATTGAGGGTGGCAATGAATGATTTCTTTTTCCTCATGTTTGCATGCAGTTGGAAGAAACGCGAGTTGGTGTCTCCCTTCTGAATCCAAGTTAGCCTTGAGTGTTGGCGAGCTCGTGATTTTCTGTATAGCTGCGATCCCCATGGATTTTGTTTAGAGATACTTCTTGAACTCCCATTCTTCCTATGTGAGAGATCTCTCTTCTTGTGCCTTTTCCAAGTTTGCCCGGGTTAGAGTTAGAATGGCCCAACTCAATTTCCAACCACCGAGGGATTTTCGCCGCCAATTCTTTAGAGCTTTGGCTGTCCGTAGAATTTTGACATGGAGCCGAAGGATGGCGTCTTGAGTGTTCATTGGTTTGATCCATGATTCTTTAATGGTATCCAGGAAACCTGGTCTATGCACCCAGTGAGACTCAAATCTAAAACCTCTGTAAAAATCCAGGCTAACATCCCCTTGTAAAAATAAAGCGCTATGGTACGAGCCAAGTGAGGCCAACGCTCAGAGGTTGGTTCTTGGAAACAATTCAAGCCAATCCGCGGATGCAAAGAAATGGTCAATTCTTGTCATTGTTGGAGATTGTTGATCGTTGCACCAGGTATACTTCCTCCCTCTTAGATCAATCCTAGCGAGTTCTAGATTGTCTACTGTTGATCTGAATCTGTTAATCATTGGCAGGTTAACACGTGCGTTGTTTTCCTCTTGCGCATTTAGGATTAAGTTGAAGTCTCCCAGCACCAGCCAGGCTGGTAGGTAAAGTGTGCACAAATCCGTGATCTCCTGGAGAAACAAAAGTTTATCTGCATCACTCTGTGGTCCGTAGACCCCGGTTATGGTCCAGGTCTTATTTTCTGCTAGCATCGTTATCGTTGCCGATACTCTGTGGGCGGTGAGGTGTGGTTGGCTTATGTTGAAAAAATGATCGGATGCAGCAATAAGTATTCCTCAGCTGGCACCCACGAAAGGCAGAAACGCTACGTTGTTCACCAATTCTGCCCCGATTGTCTCAACTAATAGACTACGTGTCCAGGTGCTGATTTTTGTTTCTGTAGATAAATAATTGTAGCACCAGTAGATAATACTTGGTTTCGAACAGATGCACGCTTAGCCCCGTCGTTCAAACCTCTCACATTCCAACACAGCAGGTTACAATTCTTAGCCGACATAATGAATAATTCTTACTACTTGCTCACGACTGAGAGTGGCCGAGGGCAACAGAGCCAGCAGACCGCAGTTCTCTCCCGAGGTCCAAAGAGCGCAGATGGGGAGGGCCAAAGGCAACAATGCCAGCAGGTCCCAGTTATCTCCCCAAGTCTTGTTCATACATGTTTTCCACCGAAGGCTCCAGGGCCAGTAGGCGCACAACCAGGATCGCCGAAGGCTCCATGGCCAACAGGCGCACAACCAATACCGCCGAAGGCACCATGGCCAGCAGGCATGCAAACAACAGTAACCAAATCTTAAAAAGTTTAGGCCACATTTGGCACTAGCGACTACATGCAGATAACGTGGGCGCGCCGCCCAAAACCCCCTACCGACAGGGGCTAACATCGATCATTGACCACAAGTCTGGCACCTAGGCCACCAGTCCTGGTGCCGCGGCAGCCTCACCCTGATTGCCGCTCTTCTTCTGGATCAAGGCGCTATGCTCGATGAGGTCCTGGATGGCGTCCATCGTGGTCTTCTCGATCGGCCTTGCGAAGTGCTGCGCATATAAGTCAAATTCATCAGGTAATGGAGGTTTGTTAGCACCTGTGTTATCAGTACCCGCAAGGTCCCTCAGTTTCTTAATTAACAAATCTTGTGCTATTTCAATCGTCCCCTTTCCGGAGTTGGCGATGGCCTTTTGCGCTAAGCGGGAACTTTGTCGTTTGATAGGTGGGCTGGCTCCATTTTTTATTAAATTCTGTCGTGGTCTTTGCGTTAACAAAGGTTGGGGGAGTGGTTTGGAGATGGATTCCAGAAAAGCATCTATGGGAGCCAGCTATTGGTTATCTGAGGTGCAGTGATCACTTTCATCTCCCACCAGAAGTTCTTGCTCTATGGTTGGGTTTTGCACAGGTGAGAAGTGATTGGCGTTTAGGGATGGCCTAGGTTGTTCTATGATTACAGACTCATCATGCATCCCAGGCCAGGGGGGACTCACCAGGATATCCTGGGTGTCCGAGTACCATCCCCAGATAACCTCAAACGCAGAACTATCAGTAGCATTAGGAGTAATATTAGGAGGTGATGTTTCCTCACTTGGAGTGATGCCACAGTAGTCACTGCTTGCGGCCTTGCCTTGCATCCCCTCATGTTCTGCCATCTCTGCAGAGGCATTATCAGAATTAACAACATGAGGCATTGTTACAGGTTCAGTTACCCTAGTGTCACAGAAATTGAATTGCTCACTCGTGAAGGAGTTGTTGGTAGTGTGGCCATCCTGTCCCCCTTCCTTCTCCTTGTTGCTGCTCAGGGTGGTGCTGTTAGCCACTGTATATGAGGAATTCAACATGACACAATCAGCGACCACAGGATCAGTATCATCAATTTGGATTGGAGAGGAGTACCCTTGATAAGCATAATGCTGTCATCAGTGATAGAGCGCTTGGGGGGCTTCAACTCAGTTGCAATAGGGTCTGCAAAGGAGACCCTCTTTGTCTTCTTCTCCTTCTTGTGTTCCTTAACCTTCCAGACTTGGGCTGGCGCCTGGTAGGCTCCACCTGACGGCCTGTTCCTTCGGGGTGGTGATTCACCCCGGCCGCGCCACCTGTTGGAGCTGATGCAGTCCTCAGCGCCTCCCCTGCAGCGAGAGTTCCTTGCCCAGGCGGAGAGGCTGCGGTGACGACGGTTGCCATGGTTGCGCCTGCCATCGTAGTCGTCGTCGTCCCGGCGTGGCCTCATGTCACGGCCGCGGTCGTGGCCAGCACGCCTCCCGTGGAGGCGCTCCCCCTTCGTGTCCGGCACGCCGTAGTCCCAGTCGAAGACACGGCGAGCCTTGTGGTTTGCAGGTCACCCAATCCTCCCCGGCTCCTACAGGAAGGTGAGGTCCTCCACCACCTCCAGATGGTTGCGCAGAATGTAGACTTGACCCCGCTTGATGTCGACCGGCTCGTCGTGGTGTGGATGTTCCTGTCCGGCTCGGTGACCGTGAGCTGGACCTCCGTGGGGATGTCGCACGGGTCACAGCACCAAGCCCAGAGGTCGAAGGACCTGGTGCGCTGGCGCCTCCGGGTTGTCTCCTCCAGGTAGTGGATGGCGCAGCTCTTGCCGAGCGCCTTGGTTGCCACCTCCTCCGCCCAGCAGTGCACCGGGATGCCCTCGATGCGGACCTTGACGCGGAACTCCCAGCTGACGTTGTTGGCATAGCGGCGCTCACTCCATGCCGCGAACTGGAAGCGGCGGCCATTGTCGAGGAGGACGCCCACCTCCACCACACGCTGTCTGTCCCTTGGGTTGTTGAAGATGACCAGGAACTGCTCGGGGAAGTGCTTGAGCACCTGGACGTCGTCGTGGTGGATGTCGAGCTGGTTGCGGAGCGCGTCCCCGAGGTGGTGTGGCTCCGTGTTGTGGCTGTTGCCGGGGAGCCAGCACACCGCCGCCCTGCCGATGAGCTCGTCCCGGCGCCGGCGGATGTCACCCATGGCCGACACTGCGCAGTAGCCGCGCGCGGGCCTGGCCAGTGGGTCGCCAGGGTACCGAGCCACCACCATGCCTCCCTGGTCCTCCTCCTTGCCCTCCCTGCCTCTGACCACTTCCGCGAAGGAGCGGTGATCAATCTTGTGTCCACTGTGGCCTGAGCTCTGCTTGTGAGTGTTGGCGTGGTGGCGTTGCTCATGGTGGATCTCTCTTTTATACTGGAGCCGCCGTGAGTTGAGAGAGCACTCCTTAGCTCGGTGCCCGGAATGGTAGCATTTCCAGCATCTTGGAGACCGGTGACAGGAGGGAGCGATGTGGTTTCGGGAAAAGCAAATAAAACATCTGCTCTCCATCTTACTCTTGAAGAAGACAGAGCCCGTCGATCTGTCCCGAGCTCGATGTGAGCCATGGATGGACGTCCCCTCTGAATCCTGTTTTCTTCAGCGATATGTCTTAGCTGGTTCCCATCCTCCCTCAACATCCAAGATATGATTTCTCAGAGCAGCATCGGATTTGCGTGTAGAGGTACTGACCGTTGAGGCAGGGGCAGTAGCCTGAGTGTAGCTGGTTTTAGAATGCTCTCCATGAATGCCTTCTCCCCTCAGCACTTCTTTCCCTTTCTAGTTTGCCGGAATCCTGGATTGGAGGAGGGCGCATTGAAGCTCCAAATCTTCTTGGGGATTCCTGGTTGTAGCCTCTGGGTTTGTGTGAGCTCCGCTTCGGTGAGGATTGATGGCTGAGCTGCCCTCCGTAGTAACTGCACCCGGCCGCTTCAAAGTCCTGAGCATGTTCAAATCCTTTGCCAAGTCAGGCAGCAGCGCCCATGCCTGCGCCTGAATCTCCGGATCGATCGTGGTTGGGCTCCTTGGTGCCTCGGTGTCGGGGAGGATTGAAGGCTTCTATGCGTCATGGTTGGACTGGGATGGAGACCCGGCTCCTGTGAGGGATGAATGCTTCTGCGCTCCACTGTTGGGCAGGGGTGCCTCCTGCGCGCCGCAGGCAGGCTGGGGCAGAGGTCCGGCTTTCCCGGTGAGGGATGAAGGCTTCTGCGCTCCGTCGGCGGGCAGAGGTGGCTCCTGTGCGCCAGGCCCGGCTTTCCCGGTGCTGCGCTCCATCGGCGGACAGCGATGGCTCCTGCGCGCCGCAGACAGGCTGGAGCAGCGGCCCGGCATGCCCGGTGAGGGATGAATGCTTCTGCGCTCCGTCGGTAGGCAGGGATGGGGGGTCTGGCGCTTGTAGACCGGCCTTAGGCTCCTCAATCTCGGTGGCTTGTGTCGGCGGCGCGGTGACGTCTCCAGCCGGCGACGTGGGCTCGACACGGGCGAGCTCGGGGGTGGTGAGGCAAGGCTGCGGCGCCCTCTGCGACCCATCAAACTGTAGATCTGCTGACGGCGGAGCTGGATCAGGTGTTGGATGGCGGCGGGATGCGGGGAATGGGGCGGATCTGGTGGGATTGGGTGTCGCGGGTCGCGGCGGAGACGATGAGGAAGGGCGAGAGCGGGTCGGTGTCAGCCATCCCTCGTCCGTTATACTGTTTAATTATGTACAATAAATATTAATATTTTCTTATAAATATTAATATTTTCGTTCGAAGTAAGAGCGAGCTAGCGAGGCTCTCACAAAATGACGAGGCTTTTTACAGGTATGTAACATTATAAAAGATCGTAATTCGCGTAATATACAGAAAAATTCGGCCATGGTCTCGGTGGCTTTTAACAGATGCGAATTGTTGATTATATTTCAGCTCTACTTCTGTCACTTTGCAGTGTGAAAAGACGAAAATGCCCTTAAGTTCAAATATGTTATTAATTTTTTAGCATCTTAACAACTTCAAATGAAAAAACTCAAAACTAGAAAGTTGTAGATCTCGTCGAGATCTATAATTTTCATATAAAATTTATTTTATTTAATTCCAAAAAAAATATGATGATTTTTCTAAGATATATTAATCATATCAAATCATATTTTTTGTGGAATTAAATGAAAATACTTTTATATGAAAATTATAGATCTTGACGAGATCTACAACTTTCTAGTTTTGAGTTTTTTCATTTGAAGTCGTTAAGATGCTCAAAAAAAATTAATAACATATTTGAACTTATTTATTTATTTTTTTCACACTGCAGCTTTGATTTGATAGTAGAGCCTGAATCGACGGAAGTGGTATGGAGGATATAAAAGTTAGAGTAGTGGTGTCAAGACCGCTGAATTTTTCTCCAGGCACATTGTGGGATTACGATCTTTTATAATGGCGTTATTGTGAAAAGTCTCCAAAATGATTGCTCGTCTACTCCATCTTCAAGGAGCTGCTGCTATTCGGGCGCCCGGCTCAATCCGGCACCGGCCCGTGCCAAGCACAGCCCGGAGAGCACGACGTGCCGCCGAGCCCGTCGCCCTAATCCATCCGTGCTCGCAAGCGGCCCGAGCACGACCCGTCGAGCCACTTTCCGTGCTGTGCCGGCCCGTAAAGCACGGTCTTTGTAGCAGGCTAGTCCGGCCCAAGGCCCGCATCAGCAGGGGAAGGGAGAGAGGACGGAGGAAGAGGTCGAGGTGCTGTCCTGCGACCGTGCCGTGGTGGCGCTCGAGGCGACGACGTGGAGGAGGACGCGGAGGTGGTGATGGTGTTGAGGCACGTGACCGCGTGGAGGAGGCCGGGCAGGCAATGCAGAGGCGCGATGACGAGGCGATGCAGAGGCACCGGGCACGGTCGCGCGGCGGCCTCAGATCCACCGTGTGCTCCAACGGCGGCAGCGGCCTCAAATCGGCCGCTTGAGGCTGCCGCGCTCGAGACCGCGTGCTCGAAGCCGTCTTGGGGTGCAGGAGGCGGGCCATCGCCCGGATCTCTCCGCTCAACGCGCCACCGGGTCTGCAGCCATGACCCCCCCGCCGTCGCGGGCGCCGGAGTGGAGGCAGGGAGGGGGCGTCCACGTGGGGGCACGGCATCGGCGCCCGTGCACGAGGGCCGAGGGGAGGGAGGGGCGCGTGGGGATGCAGAGAGAGCAACAAGGAGCCGCGGGAACTGTGGGTCATGGGATGACTGACGGGGGGGTGGGAAGGGAGTTAGGGTTAGGGATCGGGGGTGGGGACGGGAGGGGCGTCCGCGTGGGGGGTGCGGCATCGGCGTGTGTGGCGCCCGTCGCGAGGGGCCGAGGGGAGGGAGGGGCACGTGGTGATGCGGAGAAGCAGGCCCACTGGCGTCCGCACCTGGAGGGAGCTGGGAGCTGCACATGGGATGCGCAGAGAGGGGATGGGAAGGAGTTAGGGTTAGGGATCAAGGGGTGGGGGCGGGGCGGGGGAGGCGGGCGGCTAAGGCTTGAGCAGCCGGCCTTGGGGAGGAGGAGGAGTGAGGAGGGGCCGGGCCAAGCCCGACGCAGAGGGGCCGTGTCGTGCCCCACCCACCGCAGCAGATGCCCAGCACGACGACCGCTCCCTCGGCCGGGCCTTTGGGGCCCGCGACGCCACCGGACGGGGCCGTGTTCGTGTCGGGCTAAAAAATAGGCTTCGTGCCGTGCCGTCGTGTCTCTGGCTGCATGGACATTTATAGTCCTTGTCTTGATCCTTTCGGTGACACTGCCCTTGTCCTTTTCTGCTCACGCAAGGGCGGCCGTCTCAGCTCGTGGCTACGTTGCAAGCGAGTGCGAGGCACTCATCTCCTTCAAGAAAAGCTACATAGACCTTAACGGGCTCCTCTCGTCATGCCAAGGCAAAGACTGCTGCAGATGGAAGGGAGTCCAGTGCAACAACCAAACCGGCCATGTCATCAAGCTTGACCTCCGTGGCTAGGGCTGGACAAAATACTCATGGCTCGTCAACTCGCTCGACTTGTGGCCAGCTCAGCTCGGCTCGACTCGGCTCATTTTAACTTTTTCACCAGTTGAGTTGGAAGTTTAGATCGCTATTTTAACGAGGCAGCTCGCGAGCTGCTCGCGAGCTGAGGCCTATCAGCCCACGACTATGAATCCAGAAGATGATGATGCTATCGTAAAAGTGTACACCTATTCTATTAGTACGTAATCCTTATTTTCAGCTGTTTCATATAAATTTTAATTTTATAATTATTGTGGTACTTAAATGTTGATTTTATGGATTGTTTTTCAGGGAGAAGATAATGATGTTGACATTGAATCTGTGGACTTTCCTAAGTCTGTTGTGGCAAACAACTAGTTAGTATGTTAGAACTACATGATCATGGATGGACCAGCTATGTTACATGGTTGATACTTTTGATGAACCTTATATGTATTAATCATGTATGGTTGCATAACGATGGACGTCACATTCTAAAATTAATGTAGCATAAATATTATAAATATGTGTGTCCTATTTTTTTTTTTAAGTAGCTCATGAGCTAAACGAGTCAGCTCGAGCTCGGTAACGAGCCGAGCCGAGCCGAGCTGCCCCTCTAGCTCGTAATATTAACGGTATCAATGCGGACATGATAGGGAGATTACCGCAGTGGTCATGGAGCAACTTGCGTGAGCTACATTTGCAGGGTGCAAATTTGACTGGGCAGTTACCAGCATGGCTAGGAAATCTAACTAGTCTCAGCTACCTTGACCTATCATCGAACATGGTGGTTGGTTCTATACCATCTGGGATAGGAAACATGAGGAGTCTAAGTTACCTTGACCTCTCAACGAACATGGTGGTTGGTTCTATACCATCTGGGATAGGAAACATGACGAGTCTAAGTTACCTTGACCTCTCTCATAACATGTTGGATGCTTCTATACCATCTGGGATAGGAAACATGAGGAGTTTGAGTCACCTTGACCTCTCTTGCAACATGCTGCATGGTGATGTACCTAGTGGGATTGGAGCACTTCGTAATTTAACCGACTTGATCCTTTTCAGCAATAACTTCAGCGGTGTGCTTTCAAAAGAACATTTTGCTAGTCTCGTGAACCTTGAGTATCTGGACATTGAAAAAACCTCCTTGAAATTGGATTTTGGTGAAGATTGGGTTCCTCCGTTTGGATTAACATATGCATATTTTGGGTCATGTGACATTGGGCCTCAGTTTCCTTCCTGGTTGAAATGGCAAGCGGGCATACGTGAGCTTGATATCTCAAACACAAAGATAAATGATGTTTTGCCACACTGGTTCTGGGTTGCCTTTCCTAACGCTTCCAGATTGAACTTGTCAGGAAATAAACTCAGTGGTACTTTACCACCAAAGTGGAAGCTGCCGCCCCTAGACATGCTGGATCTCTCTGGAAATTCTTTATCGGGGAAGCTACCAGCTAATCTCAGAGCTCCCTACGTATTTAGAATGGATCTAAGCAACAATCATTTCACAGGCACCATCCCAGCACCATACGTGTGTAATGTTCTCTGGGAAATAAACCTATCGAACAATCAACTAACAGGGGGTTTTCCACATTGTCAAAATAACAAGTCTTCAATTTCTTTATCTATACTAGACCTGAGCAATAACAATTTGTCTGGTGAATTTCCTCACGTCCTTCAATATGCTACAAGTTTAAGCTTTCTTGACCTTTCGTATAATAGGTTCTCTGGAAGTGTGCCAATATGGATAGCAGAGAAAATGCCCAGCTTAGTGGTGCTGATCCTAAGGTCGAATATGTTTCATGGTCACCTTCCTAGGCAGTTATCAAGGATTGTTGGACTTCATTACCTGGACGTAGCACACAACAACATATCAGGAACTATACCTTCGTCCCTAGCAAGGTTGAGAGCCATGGCAGATCCGCGTGAAACAGATTATGACGATTACACTATGATGTATTCCTTCAGCAAACCAACTTTCATAAAAGATCGAGTGCTTAACTATACCAATGAATTCACAAAACATACTGTGTTGATAGATTTATCAAGTAATGGTTTCATTGGACAGATTCCGAAGGAACTAAGTTTACTCAAGGCACTTCGGAGTTTGAATCTATCTAACAACCAGTTAAGTGGACCGATTCCAGATGATATTGGTTCTTTAAGGAGACTAGAATCCCTCGACCTATCTTACAATTATTTCAGTGGCAAAATTCCATCAAGCTTATCAGATCTAACATTCTTGAGCTGCCTCAACTTGTCGTACAACAATTTATCAGGAACAATCCCCTCGGGACAACAGCTGCAAACACTCAACTATCAGTATATGTACATTGGCAATCCCGGACTTTGTGGGCCTCCTCTTCTGAAGAATTGCTCGATGAATGTAACGAATCCAACTGTTAGTCAACAGCATGAAGGTGGCAGATCATCTTTTTACATCAGCATGAGCATGGGTTTTATAATGGGTCTTTGGATTGTATTTTGTGCCATGTTGTTCTTGAAAACATGGAGGATTGCTTACTTTCAGCTTTTGGACCGTTTATATGACAAGCTTTATGTGCAACTTGCTATCAACAAGGCTGCCATTCTGAGGAAATTTGGAAGCAAAGAGATTTGAAGGTTTTCTTTCATTGCTTAGTCCATGAACCCTTTATTAGACAAGTTAATATCCTAGATAATCTTGCGTGACAAATATGTAAAGGAACCAGTCTTTGATTTGGCCGGAGATAGTAGTTAAGACCTGTACAGTAGGTTAGCAATGATTGTATCTTTCCTGTATAGGCTGATGGCGAAATCACGATTGGTCTCCTGCTCCCTATGTAAGCCACCGGTGAGGGGCTGTTCCTTACCACAACATCAACACGCAACCCGTCGCCACCGTGCGACTTCCTCGCCTAGCGTACGAAGCTGTTTTACTGCATTGTGTAACAACTAGCTGGCACCCCACGCATTGCTGCAGAAGAAATCAAGGCTACTGATTGGCAGTACAGTGGAAATATTTTCACAAATATGCAGAACAAAAGGAGCAGGTTTATGTTCTTACTCAAACCTGAAATATCTTTATTTTACTATGAAGCCTTCTCTTTAGAGCTGGATATGGATCTGGGAGATACCAACATGTAGCAATAGGTCGTGTACTAATCTTTGTATATGTATGTGATATGGATTGATTCGGTTGAGATCTTGTAGGTGTATAGTTCGTAGGTTTGTATCAGTTTGTGTTGTAATCCTTGACTAAATCAATCATAATCATTTTATACCTTGTAAGCCATGGTGGAGGCTATTTCCACCTTTATATCAATAAAGTTGCGGCCTCCTACGTGAGGTAAAACGCTTACCATTTCACATGACAGTGAAAGCATCCTCTTTCATCTTCATTCACATAAACCCCGGATCATCAATGGTGTCCTCATCGAACATGTCTGCCACTCTCGGTCCGTCGGTGGCTGAGAAACTAACGCGTGAGAACTTCGTGGCGTGGCGTCCTCAGCTTATGCTGGCGATCCGGGAAGCGCACAAAAACCTAGAGGCCTCCTAGAATTATCAAGATTGTAGAAGCTGACAAGTAACACACATCATCAACAATCCAGACTATGCCACATGGATCACCCGAGACAAGCGAGTGATAACGCACCTGCTGAACTCTGTTTGCAAGGAGATCCTCTAAAAGGACCAAATGGCACAAGAGGGGGGTGAAGAGAACCAGGCTCTAAAAGTTTTAAAGAACAAACCTTAATCTGTGCGATTAGACTCACCCCTTGAATTTTTTGGTCCTAAGACTGCACAGATCACACTAGGGCTTGTCCTTAGGGCCAACAAACTAAGTCAAGTCCGGGCACACTAACAAAATATTACTTAGTCAAAGGCCTTTGACTAAGAACACACTAGCATGGAGATTAAATCCTACTTGTCACAAAAATTTCTTGCAACCAAACAAAGATCAAAGCACAAAACAAGTACAAGAATGGAAATGCAGTACTTGAAAAGATGGACAACAGACAACTAAATTTTCCACATGGTGTCACTACCCCCTAATCTACTTTGGAGCACCGAAGAGCCACGCCAAGACTCTGATTACGCTCTCTTGATCCACCAAGGCTCAAGACTCGATCAAAACACCATGCCTCAATCCAGAATCAACAATGCAAGCAACAGTATCCCATGCCCTCATGCATTTCAGTGCTCCAAGATGTTCTCTACTACCAAACAAGTCTAGATTGAATGATACTATCACAACTCACAAGATAAATAATAACCTCTACGAGTCTGTAGCAAGAGCAACTTTAGGCTATATGTTACACCAGAACTAGAAGCTGCAGCCCTCTCACTTGAAAAGGACCATCTATTACCACCAGATACCAGAACATCTACGGTATCTACATGGCAAAAGAGAGCCTTTGCAATCTCTCTCACGCTATCATTCCTTAGCCTCATCATCACTACTTCTTCCTTCTTTTGGAACCCCTGCCTGGCTGCGAAGCTCCAGCAGAAGACGCCTCTTGAGCAGCCTCGACTGCTTTGGCTTTAGCACTTCTCAAGGTCCTCCTAGGCACCTCCGTTGATGGGCCTGCATTGTTATTTTCTTCCACCAGTTCAGCTTTGACTCTCTTGCGCTTCTTCCTCGAGGAACGATTGGCTGATGAGACTTGATCTTCCCCAGGTTCATTCACATCATCATCGCCATCAGCTTCACCGTCCTGACAGGGCCATTCAGTACCACAACTAGGACACGCTCTTGAAGCCTACATATGCAGAAATATTAGCAAACCATGACTTTACCATCAACATGAGTTAGCAGTGTGAACTATGATTTAGGCAAGTACCTTTCTTTGTGAAAATTTCTTCTTCAAGCAGTACTCATGAATTCTAACATTGCATCCCTCATTTAGACAACTTGATGCCTGTTGTGTAACATAAATAATACTAGCAGGTTATATGGGACAACATTAAGGGCAAGACAATGCAACTGAAAATCATAGAATCATCACATATCAGTACCTTTATACAAGCTTCGTTGCAGACAACACAAGATGGGATATCATTACCACGGAACCAGCTTCGGAGATCAAGAAATGATCTGGTGCCCAGACCAATCTTGCCTGTGGAGGTGTATGACAACCAACGATCCCGTATCAGTTCATCAAGTGTTTTCTCTTTCTGGCTCAGTGAGAAGTTCTTTATGGAACTAGGAAGGCGAGATTGGCTGTCCTCTGAACCGTCTACAATTACAACCTGGGAACAGAACAGTCAATAACTCATGATGCCACATTGCAATCGAGATTAAACTGTCAATCAGTAGATCTAACAGTACTACTATGCCATGCCACAGAAATACCAAAAGGTGATACCGTTGATGACATGATAACTGCAAAATATATGAAACTATAATATGCTCACTTAAATGCTTGTAAGTCATAAGTATTATGAGCGACACTAAGCACATGGCCAATTAGTACATGTTGATACATGAAAACCAAAAAAATCATGTTGCCAGAATTACTGTACAGCAAACCTGGTTGTCAAGCCGGACATTGAGAGCGTCGATACTGGTTATGCTCCCATCAGTTCCAGCTTCCTGAACTATTGCTTCTAACTGCCACAGTAATCATAACATTACATACATCAATACATGCGGAAGGTCAACACAACATATGTAGTGTCAGACTGAGGTATGCAAGGCCACGTATCGCATACCAGTCCCTTGTAGAATGCAATCTGGGGCACAGAATACTTTGTTCCGAGCTTAGATTCTTCATCAACAATGTTATTAACAACTCCGTAATAAACCATACCATCATATTGGTTTATGCATGCCCGCAACTCGAACTGCAAATAGGCGAGGTCCTTATTGATCTTGAGAAGTGTATCATTGAACAGTTGTTGATGAGTGGCTGCAAGTCATGATATGAAATAAGTGATTGGAGAGTAGACATTTGGCCAAATGAATCAAGTGAAGCTTGCAGCCCCTAGGCTATCGACTCTTCTATAAAACCGGTGCTAAATATATGATTCAGCCAAGCAGGCAACAAGACGTCAGTTGGGCTGAGTGATTCAAATCCCATGTGGAATCAAGACCATTTTCAGACAATCATATAATGCAACTTTGAATTCACTGTTTTTTTAGCTAAACTTTGAAGTTTGAAGTGATTCTGACTGGCTCGGGTGACCAGCAAACAAATGGTAAAAATTTCATAGATCTACCTTAGGTGAGAAAGTAAGTGTAGCTATTGCTGGATCAGACACAAATTTCCACTAAATTGTTTGTTCAAGATACAGCATTCACTTGTAAACGAATTATAGTGTGAGGAGCACGAGCAAGTCAAGAAGAGGCCAACTTAAATAAGAATGATGACTTAGGCCAACAAAGAAAAGGAAAAAGAATGCCTACACAAGATGCTATCAATATTCAGAAAGGTAAACTTTTTTTGAGGCAAAGAAAGAGAAAAGGAAATACAAGCAGCATCAGGTTTTGTATACAGCAGCATTTGCCTGAAAAAATCAGACGGAGACCAAACTAGCACTCTTTTCCCTGACAAACAGAAGATCTGTAGTAGACAAATAGAGATACAAAATGGATTCCAGAAAAAGTATAGAGATGTACACAACATTCCGAACAAATGTATTACTACTACCACCACACCGCTACAGTAATAAGTTCAAGAAAAGAGAATCATTCCATGGAACAGATGAGATGGAGAAAGATTAGAGCTATAAAGCGGGGAGAGTTGCAAGCATCGTGGCATAGGTAGGTACCGGGGTCCCTGTCGGAGACAGCAGCGAACAGCGCTTGGAAGTCAGGCTCGGGAAGAGGGCCGCGGGAGAGCAGCGCCTGCAGCAGGGTGTGGTGCCGCTGCCGCCACGAGAGAGGCGCCATTGCTGCTGAAGGTGATGAGGATGGCGTAGCAGATGAATGGGATAGGGGCGCAGCAGAGGAGGACGGAGAAGGAGGCGAAGAGGAAGCCAGGAAGGGGAGCAGCGCAGAAGCGGAGGAGTAGCGGCGGCGCGGCAAGAAGCGGGCGGTTGGGCGGAGGGAGGTTGACGGGCGAGTCGAGTGCGAGGCAGAGGTGCGAGCGGCGGGGAATCGATGGGATTGCCATATAATCTGCTCAAAAGCTTTGGCTTACGCTGGAAGGAGACAAGCAGGGGAATGGCGGGAAGGGATGGGCATGGGGGTGCAGCTTAGCTTGCAGTGTAAGCTCTCCAGCCTCCAGGTGCTGCTGCGTGCACCTGTAGCTCTGATTAGCGCCCACCGCCCATCAATAAAGACGTGCATTTCGTCGAGCACTTGTTGGGCTATGGCGTCCCGCGTACAGAGAAAAGACCGAGAGACGACGAGAGGAGAGCAAAGCAGACGGCGTACCGGGGTCCTTGCCGGAGACGCCGGCGAAGACGGCGTGGAAGTCGCGCTCGGAAAGGGGGCCGCGGTGCAGCAGCGCCTGCAGCAGGGTGTGGTGCCGCCACGACAGCGGCGCCATGCTCCCGCTCGCGGCTCACCTGGTGGAAAGTGGGGACCGCGGGCGCGGATCGGGAGAACCCACCAACCTACTCGTCGAATTACTCCGCCGCCGCCCGCGGGAAGGATTTCTCCTTCTGTGGAAGGGGGATTTTTGGGGGATGGAGGATTTGGTTGGCGTTTCGCGGGAAGCGCACGACGAAGAGCGTGGGAGGCGGCATTTCCTTGCCGCCGCAAGGGCCCTGGGGAAGGAAGGAAACAGTGGGCCGTGCATCTGGAATGGGCTGGGCCGCCAGCCCGCTGAATTGGACTGGGGTCTTTGCTTCGCTTCTGTCTTCTCGGACGTGGCAGTTTGCCAGTTTGGCAACAGGGAAAAGCAAGCAAATCCACGCGTCGAAACAACTTCCTTACTCTAAGCCAAGAAAATATTTGTATAGAGTTAATAAAATTCATTAATAATCCCTTAGATAAGCCACTGTTTGAGGAATAAATAAATTGGGCCCACTTGTCACCCGATGCCAGCTTCTACTTTTTTATTTGCAAAAGTTTTTGAGTTGGGAAACCGAAGTTGAGGGAGAGGAGAAGGATTGACTTCTGTTTGACACAATATTTACATACAACACGCAAGGGAAAGTTTTAAAAAGTTAGCATTTTTGTAAATACAAATTAAAAATGTTGTACAAAAATCTTGGACGTTACACCATGAGATTGAGGGCTTCCACCATGGGTTTTGGGCATCGTCGGGTGTGTTAATGTCACTGTAATATAGCATCATGAACATATTAAGAAAAGCATATAAAGTTGGAAAGAAGCAATGATTTATTATCTATATATCATAAAATCTAGTTATCTAACACGTAGACACCAATAAATTATTTAAGTTCTTAAGATGGACAAACATCTATCACCTAGGTATTAAGCACGTAGTTGAAAACCAGAAGCGGGATGCTTGATTATATAGTGTGGCCCTTAAACTTCATACATTCATATAAACATGCGGTGCAATTTAGCGCATGTATCCGACCTACATTCATACCGAGCCTCAACCTGCCACCCACACCTCGGAAAAGTGTGAGGCTCTGTTCGGCTGATCGTAAAGCCGTTTGTGCTGATTTGTACGGCTAATTTGTTGGGAGAGAAAAATACTGTATCATGGCTTATAAGGCGTCTTATAAGACGGCTTATAATGGCAGCCGAACACTCTCTATAGATCAAGACTATCATCCCTAGATTAATTGCAGCATGCGATTCTATCGCCAGTAGACGTCCAAATTTTGGTGTTGACATGATGGTGGCTTTTCGCTAAGCCTTCAGCCCCTCATCTTTAGTGGTTTTCCTCTAAGCCTGCAACACACAATCCCTTCGGCACTCTTTCTCTTAACTTTGTATGTTGCTTACTTTCCTCTAAAGGTGCAACACACATTCCATCTTGCGCACTCCTCTTCTAAACTTTGGCGTTCATGTGAAGGTGGTTTCCCTCTATGCCCACATAACACAAATATATCGCTAGTAGCCTCTCTTTTCTAACTTTGGCATTCACACGGTGATGTCTTCCATCTAAGCCCACAAATACAATCCCTTGACTCCATAGAAGCCTATACAGGTCTTCTTTATTTTTGCATGACGATGGCTTTCCTCTAAATCTACAATACATAATCCCATCATGAGTACTTCTCACCTAACTTTGGCGTTCACGTGAAGGTGGGCCCCTCTACGTCAACTAAACACGAATGTATCACTAGCAGCCCTCACTTTTGTAACTTCGTTATTTCGTGCGGCAGTGCCTTCCTCTAAACCCACAGATACAATCCCCTTGTATCCACAAAAGCTACTAGCAGGCCCTCCTTTTTGCATGGCAATGGCTTCCATCTTAATTTGTAATGCATAATCTTGTCATGGGCACTCCTCACCTAACTTTGGCGTTCATGTGAAGGTGGGCCCCTCTACATCAACTGAACACAAATCTATACCTAGCAACCCCTCTTTTCTAACTTTGACATTCTCATGCATGGTGTCTTCCCTCTGAGCTATAGATACAATCCCATGTACCCATAAAAACCGCTAGCAAACCCTCCTTTTGTATAGTGATGGCTTCCCTCGAAATTTGTAACACATAATCCCATCATGAGCACTCCTGTAACACCTTCGGTGTTACCGCTTAAACAACTTGCTAAACTATGTCATGAGCATCATGTTTATGTGTCAATGCATGTGTGTAGATCAATTTTTGTAACTCAAAACGATCAACAAGAATGCTAAACGAAAGTTGATTCAATAGTAATGTTATATCACTTAGGGTTTAACACCAATTTTTATTAAGCAAAAATATTATAGAACATATATGTGACACTTAAATAAAGTTGGAAATACAAACTTGATAGATGACAATGCAACTTTAACTTTTAGAAAATATATGTTGTTAACTAGTGTTTTGGGAGCCCAAAAATCAAACTTGACGTTAAGATAAGCTCTTTTCGTCAATGTTTTCCTAAACGGTAAACGGTTTTTACATGGTCGCCCTTCATTTAGCGTTTAGGCTGTTTACACGGTGTTTAAACGAAATTAAACGGTCTAAACAGTTTTGTATTTTAAAAAAATACATATAATTATATATGTGTATGTAAAAAGTGAAGTATTCTAGCATTTATACATATTTATCCGAGTAAAAATTAATTAATTTGATATGTATATATATTTATGCATGTGAAAAGAACCAAATATAGATATTTATGCATGTAACATATCAAGTGTACACATTTATAAATATAATAAACTTAAGTATATAAATTTATCCATACAAAACTGAACTAGATTTATTTCGTATTCGCCTAAACGGCCGTTTAAACAGCTGTTTAGTCCGTTTAATGCTGTTTATCTCTGTTCTTTTTAGGTCATTTTTCCTGTTTTTTGACCATTTAAACGATCAACCGTTTAATTTCCGTTTACCCCCTAAACAACACAGTTTACCACCATTTACCGTTTACTAGCCGTTTAAACGGCCGTTTAATCCATTTAGGCGAACACTGCTTTTTGTTAAGTCTGCAAGCACTTGAACTATTGTTAAGATACTATTTTTGACGAATTATATGGAGCAAAATAGTTAAATATTGCTCAAATATTTTGCTCCTACTAGTTAGTATAATGTATGGACTATTGTATGAAGTATTTGTGGTTGAAATTAACAAGGTTTAGATCTTATAAAAATTGCGACAAAAGAGTTAATGGTTAATTAGCCTCGGTTGAAATCCTTAACGTTCTTAAGTATGGAAAAGTAGTAAGACAATGCTATTTTGACATTTAATTTCTAACAAAAATGTTTAAACACTAGTTGCACGTTTTGGTATTGTTGATTGCATCAAAGTAAGTGCTTGAGCATGGCATAGGTCGACATTGTATTGGATGTCACGTTGTCCGCTCTAAAATTGCCCTAACTTCACTAGAACGCGCTGCGAACCCTGATTCGGTGCTCAATTCGTGAACCGACGTTCAGCGTGATGAACCCATGTTGGCACCTCCCTATCTCTCTCTCTGGTCGCTCTCTAGACGTGAGGTTTGCTTCGTTAGCTAGGTGTTAGTATCGACTTTGGGTTCATGGAGTTGGTTGAGTCTTCATCGAGTTGGTAAGTAGCTTTTAGCCCGCTTTAAAATGCGTGCGTGTCACCGTTTTGTCCGTTTGGCACCATGGGCACGGTCGCCTTGCGCACGTGCGCAGCTAGCGACGAGCTCGGCCCCGGGCTGATCATAACCCTTCCTTGCAGGCTAGTGCCGCCTGCTGGGACGATGCCGCGATGCGCCTCTCACCTTGTCTGCCCTCTTGCTAGCCAAGCCACGCCGAGCCGCTGTGCCACGCGCAGCGCCGAGGCGAGGCTGTGACTGTCGTCGCTCGGTCATCGTGACATTTTCTCTGCCCACCAATTCACCTCGACCGCTGTAGCGCGCGCCCTCTGCCTCTCAACCCACCTACCACGCCCTCATCTCGACGCCGTTGCATGGCCGGACGTAGGCGCTAACCGACGCGCTGCTCGCTCGTGTGGTCATATCTCCGCTACCGCCGTCCGTGCCCTGCCAAGACTAAGCCATCCCATCCTGGCACCCCAGGACACGCTCCATCTGTGCCCCACCGTGCGGATGCTCTCGCTCATTAAACGCGGCCTCGGCCGAGGTTGGCCGAGCCTGGAAGCCACTGCCCATTGCCTTGCCGTCGAAGGAGCTACGCCGCTTCGCAAGCTTTAAACACGCGGTCCATGATATCCCATCTCGATTCAGTGCCCCATCGGCTAGGATTGGAAGCTAGCTAGCAAACCGACCCGTACCAAAGCACAAGCAAACCTTGTAGTTAGCCAATTTGGCGTTTTGCTCGCCACCGGCCGTGGGCACCGCTGAATCAGTAGTTTGGGAGGTAAGGCATGTAGGAGTGGTAGCAGTTCGATTGCTCGTAACCCTACACTCGCCTTGACTCCCTCTATCCGGTGTTCGCCATATTTTTGGCTAGGAAACTCGTCGGCGACGTGGTGACGCGCCAATGTCCATCGTAGAGCGTCGCCGGCCCGCTCGGTCGCGTGTGTCCAGACCGTCACAACGCTTCCTCGCTTCAACCGTCAGTAGGGTTTACACCACGGTGAGCTACGGATGCTTCTCCACCATCTCTACCTGGTCATGAGGGTGTAGGCTCGCCGTAACAGTCACACCGCCGCTGTGGATAGCCGCTCACCGCTGCAGCTCACGACAGTGCGCCTCCGAGTCCCTAACCGCCACCCATCCTTGCGCGTTTAGCTGTAGATGGTTGTCGGCCCCTTACTTCCGCCCAGTGGTGGATGCAGAACAGGATTGAAGGGGGGGGGCTGGTCTATTCTTCTTCCTCTCTCTCTCTCCATTTTTCTTCTTTCCTCCACCTCTTGTTCTCCCTCACCCTCCCCATATTTCCATTGATGCACCAGTTGTAGGGGGGGGGCTGGATCCCCCTAGCCTCCATATAGATCCCCCTACTTCCATCGTAGCGAGCCTAGTTGGCCCGACGTAACC